CGACCAGGCACAGTCACAGACAGATGGGACATGACAGCCTACTGCCTCGGTGTCACGCGTGGGTCGCTGGAGTGGAGCCGGCTCCTGGGCTGGAAGAAGCCGGGGGACTGGAGTCAGCGGGGCTGGGCCTGGGAGTCCGGATTCACGGTCGTGTGGTCCAGCCGGCTGCCTCTCTGCGGGGGTGGGGGATGTTCTGTCCTGTGTGGCTTCTGTTCTGGGCTTCATCCCGGGTGTGGAGAACCTGGCCCTTTCCCTGGCACGATCGCTCGCTGCGCGGCGACGGAGGGAATTCGCCCTCCTTGGCTGGTCAGCCTGGGCGGGGCTGGGCCTGGGAGTCCGGATTCACGGTCGTGTGGTCCAGCCGGCTGCCTCTCTGCGGGGGTGGGGGATGTTCTGTCCTGTGTGGCTTCTGTTCTGGGCTTCATCCCGGGTGTGGAGAACCTGGCCCTTTCCCTGGCACGATCGCTCGCTGCGCGGCGACGGAGGGAATTCGCCCTCCTTGGCTGGTCAGCCTGGGCCTCTCAGCGCTTTGCATGGGCCCCTTTCTCCAGCGCGGGGACCTTCCCTTTCCACCGTGCCAATTGCTGGCTTCCCCACCCCTTCCCAAGGCTGCACTGGTCTTGAGGCAGGCACGTGCTGCCCCATGCTGCAGTCGCACAGGGGTGGCTCCCAGTATATCGGCAGGTGGTAACACCGTCAGCATTTGCTTTCCAGTGGGATGCTCCTGCTGGGCCCTACACCATCCTCAGCACAACTGGGTAGGCAAGGCTAAGAACGCCCCCCCACCCCCTATCCAATCCTGTGTGTATGCCCCGGCCTTCTCATTACCCTTTTCCCCATGGCGCGGCAGCACCATTGTGCAGTGCATATGGTCGTTTCGGTTTCCCTCAGCGCACCAGCCCTTTCTACAGTGATGGGGGCGCTCCCACAAACAGCCCCCCAATGTTAAAGCGGACCTGACCTCCCCCCCCTTTGCTCAGTCCCAGGATCTCCCCAGAGAGCCCCCTCCTGCCACCTTAGCTTGCTCTGGAGTCGGCTTTCTTCACCCTTGTGTTGCTCTCCCTTGGCTGATGGGGGCTGGCCAAGGAGACCTGTTGCCTTTGGCCCGATCTGCACAGCAGAATCACTTGCCACATGTATGTGGGAGCTTGTAAATGTCAGCGCTCTCCTTGTTAGTCATCGGGCTGGTCCCTGGCGCGCACACCTTTTCCGCTCCTTTGCGATGCTGCAGCCGCTGAGTTGGAGCTGCCGCACCAGATTGGCTCCGAGTGCCTCTCCGCCCACATGTGTCTGAGAAAAACTATTATGTTTCCCAGTGTTTATATTAGCTCTGCATAAAATTTGTGTGCATGAAATCTTTAATGTTGCTCCTGACCTAGATATCGCTGTGTGCAGAGAATGGGTGGAAAAGGCTCTTCACTTTTCAGCTGCCACTTTGGGAGTGGAGGAAGTTAATTAGGTGATTCTCTCCCATGTGGTCTGGCAGGTTTGTGGAATGGACAGGGTCACAGGGCGAGCCAGGGAGAAGGTTTGGGGGGGTGGACCATTTTTCTTGGTGGCCCCCAATTTGCTCTTGCAAGTTGAACGGGGGTAATTTGGGGATCTCGGTGCAGTTCCAAGGGAAGGGCTGTCTCCATAGAGAACTCCCATGAAGCTAATAGTCTAGTGTACAGTGTCCTCAGCTGTATCCTCAGTGAACCCGAGGACTCAGTGAGTACCCTAGCTCTCTCAGAAGAGTATGAGGAAGCTTAGGGTCATGGGCTTGTGCCTCATGCTGGGTGCAATCCTTTATTGTTACTAGGCATGTAAAGGATTAACCCGTTAAGCGGTAAGCATACCCCTTGCTAGCATGCTTACCTGGGTCACTGCTTAACCCACAGGGGGCTGCTCTGGGGCTGCCCCAGCTTAGCTGAGCCAATTGCACCATGGGCGGGAGCACTCGCACCCGGTTGGGCTGGAGCAGGGCCCTGCTTCGGTTAACTGGTTAAACCAGTGTTTCTGAAACTTGTTAAGACTGAGGAACACCAAACAATGATTTTTTTTAATGAAGAACACCAAGGATTTTTTTTTTGTTGAGACAAAAAAAAAAAAAAAAGGCGCCTGCCCCTTTATGGGTGGCCATTTTGAACTCTCTTCTCTGCGGCTAAATGCTTTGTTTAACTGTTTAACCACCGAACCAGGATTTTACATCCCCAACAGGGTAAACATGAAATGTTCTGGCCTGTGTTACATGGAAGGTCAGACTAGAGCCGTGGTGGCCAACCAGTTCTGAAGCAGTAGCCACTATAGTGGACTAGCCACACACCACCGGTTGCGTAGCATGGATTAGACCTTGTCTATCAGAGATCTGCCACCTCATTTGTATACAAGTGACCAGCAAGGCTCAAGAATTCATTCCAGTGTCTTCAGCAGTGCACACGTTCTGTTTGTTTTGTCACTGTAGAGAAACTCCTCAATGAGCTTAACTCCCAGGCTGTGTCCAGACTCAGGGGTTTTTTCGGGAAAAGTAGCCTTTTTCCGAAAAAACTTCCCCTGCGTCCAGACTCAAGCCGCGTTCTTTCGAAATTATTTTGAAAGAACGCGGCTTTTCTTTCGATGGCGGTAAACCTCATTTCACGAGGAAGAACGCCTTCTTTCGAAAGTTCCTCTTTCGAAAGAAGGCGTTCTTCAATGTAAATAGGGCTTCTTCAAAAGAGAGCATCCAGACTCACTGGATGCTTTCTTTCGAAAAAGCAAGCCGCTTTTTCGAAATTTCTCCATGCAGTCTAGACGCTCTCTTTCGAAAGAGCCTCTTTCAAAAGAAGCTTTCGAAAGAGCCTCTTTCGAAAGAAGCCTGCAGTCTAGACATAGCCCATGGGACGAGGGCATTTTAATGGTCCTTTCTAGCCTTCAGCTCTATGAGCCATTCAGCGCCAGCTGCCCTCTAGCACTGGGAGCCCCATGTCCAAGCACAGGAGTGAAGCAATGCGGGTAAATTTACACTGATGCAGCCTCTGTTGTTTGTATTTTGGTAGCATCAGCAGGTCCCGATCTGGGCTCGGGGGCCCTTTGTGCTTGGTGCTGTACGTACATGAGGACGAGCCCCTGCCCCAGTGAGCTAGTCCGTGGGCAAATCCAGAGCGTGATCCAAGCGGGACTGTGTCCCAGCACTAAGTGCATTGCAAAAGCAAAAATAAGAGCGTTGAAGAAAGCAATTCAAGAGGCTTTCACTGATTCGACAGAATGGTCCCTCTGCATTCCCGGGGGAACGAGGGCGAAGACAGGCAGAGGAGCTGGCACTACACCTCCTTGGGCTCCAGCACTTGGCAAATGTCCCTGTTCCTGCCACCACCTGGCCCTCCCACTGCCGGGTGTTGCTGCCGCTGATCTGTGTTCTGGCTCTTCGGGAGGGATCTGTGGGTGGGTGGGAACTAGAGTAACACTGAATGTGTCGGGCGAGAGAATGCGGGCTGCGGAGAACAGGCCAAAATAGCAACTTGTGAAATCGCGAATAGCACCTGAGCCCGCCCAAACGCTGAGATTCTGCTTGCTGGGACGCCTGCCTCTCCGGCACACCTGTGCTCCAGAACTCCTCTGCAGCATGGGGGGCCAGCCAGCCCCAGCGGGGCGGTGGGCCTGGCGGTGCAAGTGCAGATGCATATTCTGGCTGCTTCCTTCAGGCAAGAGCAGGGCTCAGGGACGGCTTTGCCCTTCTTTGGAGCTGCCACTTGTCACCAGAGGCCTATATCCCCATGCAAGGAATCAGAACTACTGCCGGGGAGTCAGAACTACATGGCCAGCTGGGCAGGCAAGTCCAAAGGGCCAGCTGTTGAGTGAGAACAGGCCCTTTGCAGATAGACCTGTGAACTGGAGCCTACTGGTGGGAGGTACAGCTAGGTGCCTGCCGTGTCACATGCCTGGACATGATGCTGGTGCCAGCATCCT